AAATGAAATAACAATATAATGGCCATTATGCACTATTAACACAATATAGACCTGCCAGTGCTGTCAGGTGGACAAACTGTATAACGGCTGGCTTCTCCACTCATAAACCTATATATTCCATATCACATATTCGCTTAGCTGCTGTCTGCACCATTAAGTGTATGCAGAGGAATGCCTTATCAACTTGACTGCTGCTTTTGAGCCTGGACAGCCACAAATCCTGCATGCAGTATATATGCAGTATATATGTATGCACTCATCACTCACACACAAATCCTATTGTCTCATGTATGTATATAGTGCTCATTCCATTCTCTCATATCCCATACGTCATTCCTTTTTCTCATTTCATGTGTGTAGTACTGTAGGATAAACTTGTCACTTTATTAAACACACAATCCTCAATTCCATATGTCTATATAGTGCTATATTTTTATGTAATATGTTTTATTGCTGAGCCGACCACTTTTCTCGTCCAATACATTACATTGTACCGCTGACCCTGTGTGAACCTATATATGACTAATAAAGTAAATTGAGGCTAATGGTCACACTTTTTCTAAATAACTGCCAAAACATATTTTGGAAATACGGTAATTTCGTGCTATTTATTAGCTGGCATATACACCAAAAAAATAATTAATATGTGATAAGGTAATTTTCAAAACCATTAGTTTGGCTGTACTTATTTTAGAATTTCACAAAGCCTTATAAATGGTGTGGTTTTTAAACTTTTTGTGCCCAAGGCACAAGGAGTGATCTATCGTCCCATTCTTGGCTTTCTCCTTTTAATTGTTATTATCCCTCACACTGGCTGCCAATCAGGACTTTTGATGTGTAACACACTTATAATTCCCATGCGCGAACAGCGACAATAGGGGGTTAAAGCTCCATTATTTGATGACCCAACAATCAAGTATCTTTCTCCAGAGTTACATGCAGCACCTTGACAAAGTTTCGTAAACAGAATTTGTGTAATTCTGCATCCAGACACACAAACAACAGACAAACACACATAGATCAGATAATTGGCCTTTAGTGCAGCTGTGGCCACAGCAGCTTTGCTACCATTACTCATGCAGTCTTTACCTCAGCAAACTTTCAGCTCTGCCTCCCCTCATCATGTCAGAGCGTGATGACTCAGGCAGGAGTCATTATTACGCTGACCTTGTGCTCATTCTTAATATTTGTTGCTTTCATCTCAGGAGAACAGACTGTTGGCTTAAATTAACAAAGATGTTATTTAATAAAAAGACAATGTGTGCTCCCCCCTCTCTCCAATTTTCTCTCCACAAGAGGCACAAACATGTGGTCTTCCCCCCGTAAGACGGCTTCCTCTTAACTAATGCCAGAAAACCTGAAAAAATCTGCATTCTTTGCCAGAGTCAATAAGCCTGGATCAACTATACCTGCAGTGCAGAGAGCAACGTGATGCATGAGGCACAGCTGAGAGCTGCTGCCAGCACTGCACCAAAAGACTAAAAAACACATTCCTGCTTAAAGTAATATTCTGACTTGTCATTTAAACTTATGTTGTAAATAGCCCTGAATTAGAAATAGTTGTTAATCAGGAAGTCAGTAGTGTCAGTTGCAAGTTTATTATTGTTGTCAGTCCTGTAGCAACCTGTGTTGCATCACACCTGCTGTGTTACTTTTGTTTTTAAGCTTAGACATACGTCATTTACTGTGATTCATTTGTCTGCTCTTCACTACCTAAAGTCTTCCTGAGCATCCTCACTCAAATTACGCAGAAAGGTTGAGAAACAGACTGCAGACATTTCAGTAATCTAATCTCCTACAGAGCAGATCATAGTTTATTCTCTTGGCAGTCCAACCTGCTGCTGCCACCATTTTGCATAACCAGAGCAGCTTGTTTCAAGGAGCGCTCAGAGCTTTCAGGTGCTATCCAGTCAGCTGGCAACTTTAGCATTCCTCACTCTGAACGTTATGTCCCAGTGTCACGGCCAAAAATGTCCCGTTAATTTGCCAAGTATCTTCTCCGGTGACAGCTTGAATCAATCAGTACTATTTTGCAATAAAATGGAATTAAGTATGTCAACTTCTGAGTATTAACCTCTTCTGAACTATTATTTTTGCAGCATAATTAGACAGCAAATAGTGACTGAAGGTTACATCACGTGATCAGTGTCCCTGACTGAACCCAGGATGTTAGTTATATACAGTACAGGCCAAAAGTTTGGACACACCTTCTCATTCAATGCGTTTTCTTTATTTTCATGACTATTTACATTGTAGATTCTCACTGAAGGCATCAAAACTATGAATGAACACATGTGGAGTTATGTACTTAACAAAAAAAGGTGAAATAACTGAAAACATGTTTTATATTCTAGTTTCTTCAAAATAGCCACCCTTTGCTCTGATTACTGCTTTGCACACTCTTGGCATTCTCTCGATGAGCTTCAAGAGGTAGTCACCTGAAATGGTTTCCACTTCACAGGTGTGCCTTATCAGGGTTAATTATTGGAATTTCCTGCTTTATCAATGGGGTTGGGACCATCAGTTGTGTTGTGCAGAAGTCAGGTTAATACACAGCTGACAGCCCTATTGGACAACTGTTAAAATTCATATTATGGCAAGAACCAATCAGCTAACTAAAGAAAAACGAGTGGCCATCATTACTTTAAGAAATGAAGGTCAGTCAGTCCGGAAAATTGCAAAAACTTTAAATGTCTCCCCAAGTGGAGTCGCAAAAACCATCAAGCGCTACAACGAAACTGGCACACATGAGGACCGACCCAGGAAAGGAAGACCAAGAGTCACCTCTGCTTCTGAGGATAAGTTCATCCGAGTCACCAGCCTCAGAAATGGCAAGTTAACAGCAGCTCAGATCAGAGACCAGATGAATGCCACACAGAGTTCTAGCAGCAGACCCATCTCTAGAACAACTGTTAAGAGGAGACTGCGCAAATCAGGCCTTCATGGTCAAATAGCTGCTAGGAAACCACTGCTAAGGAGAGGCAACAAGCAGAAGAGATTTGTTTGGGCCAAGAAACACAAGGAATGGACATTAGACCAGTGGAAATCTGTGCTTTGGTCTGATGAGTCCAAATTTGAGATCTTTGGTTCCAACCGCCGTGTCTTTGTGAGACCCAGAAAAGGTGAACGGATGGATTCTACATGCCTGGTTCCCACTGTGAAGCATGGAGGAGGAGGTGTGATGGTGTGGGGGTGTTTTGCTGGTGACACTGTTGGGGATTTATTCAAAATTGAAGGCACACTGAACCAGCATGGCTACCACAGCATCCTGCAGCGACATGCCATCCCATCCGGTTTGCGTTTAGTTGGACGATCATTTATTTTTCAACAGGACAATGACCCCAAACACACCTCCAGGCTGTGTAAGGGCTATTTGACCAAGAAGGAGAGTGATGGAGTGCTGCGGCAGATGACCTGGCCTCCACAGTCACCGGACCTGAACCCAATCGAGATGGTTTGGGGTGAGCTGGACCACAGAGTGAAGGCAAAGGGGCCAACAAGTGCTAAACACCTCTGGGAACTCCTTCAAGACTGTTGGAAAACCATTTCAGGTGACTACCTCTTGAAGCTCATGGAGAGAATGCCAAGAGTGTGCAAAGCAGTAATCAGAGCAAAGGGTGGCTATTTTGAAGAAACTAGAATATAAAACATGTTTTCAGTTATTTCACCTTTTTTTGTTAAGTACATAACTCCACATGTTCATTCATAGTTTTGATGCCTTCAGTGAGAATCTACAATGTAAATAGTCATGAAAATAAAGAAAACGCATTGAATGAGAAGGTGTGTCCAAACTTTTGGCCTGCACTGTAGTTAACACCTTTGACCACAAGACTGTAAGGATGCTTTGTTATTATTTACTTTGACTGAGATAAAGAAAATGCACAATGAGAAGTCTGTGAAGTAACTGCAAGCAAAAACTGCACAATAAGCAACCAGATGATCTGAGGACTTTAGCCTCTTTAAACAAGCTATATGTTGTTGTCAAAGTTCTAGTGCAGTTCCCCTTAAACAACTGAATCCTATTAAAGTGCTGGAAATTGCCTAAAGTGTTTGGCAGCCTTATTGGTACTGTGCACAGGATATTCAAACATTTCAGTCGCATCCATCATCTGTAAAGGCTCGCAGGTTTCTCCTTGCTATGGATCAACTCTTTGTTTCTTACGCCGTAAAACTGCAAAAAGAACAGTGCACATGCAAGACCCAGCACATCTCAGGAACGAGGTATTTACTGTGCCCTCCACCTTGTTAAACCCAGAGGAAAGTACATGCTGTCATCGATGGGAACATGCCCCCAGCTAATGTTCCTGTCCCGTCCAGACTGTTGAATGCGTTGTTTTCAGCAGTGTGATTTATGGTTTCTCCACCGGCTCTCTTTTACAGTTTAACACCATTCACCGGTATGTAACGTATATAACATGAGGAATGGCTTTTGAAAAAATGCACAGATAGGTTACTAGGTTTGGGTGATAGTTCAAATATTTAACTCTTAGCAAGATGCAAATGTTCCTTTTCCTGACTTATAGTGCTGAAACAAGTTAAATTCATTATTTATTTTCTATTAGTGAATTGAAAAAGAAATAATTTGTGTTTTATTTGGACCTGAAATTTATCATTTAAGTCAAAACGCTAAACATTCCTTGGTTACAGCTTCTCAGATTTGCTGCTCTGTGATTTATTTCATCATAAACTATACATTAATTGTTCCACTGTCTTGTTTTTACATGCAAGTTGATTTCGTTAACCTACACAGGAAAAAGTGGAGACACAGAGTACTTGTTTGTGCTTCATGAGGATCTTTTCAGGCATCAACCACATACCTTAAATTATCAACAGGTCTTTGAAATAATACGCCGGGCTTTTGAGTCTTTGCAGTCCCCCCTTGAAGGTGATTGCTTTACATCTGGAAAAAGCCCCTGCTGAAAGCCCTCATCTCTTCATTCTTCTCTGTTCATCCACTTTGTTCTGTTCAAACATAACCAAGACTGTTTTTGTCCTCTCAGGTGCTCCGTGTGCTGTGACCACCTGACTAACTGGTACTATGAGAAGGAGGGCAAGCTGTACTGTCGCAAACACTACTGGGAGCAGTTTGGAGAGCTCTGTCATGGCTGCTCTCTGCTCATGACTGGACCTGCCATGGTAAGTCTACTGAAGTTTGTAAGGGTTAAAGCAACTATCTCTTGGTCCAAAACATTAATCAACATAACGTTTTCTAAAAATAATTTTGTCTGAACCAAAACCTAATTACCTTTAATTGAGATTAAAGGGGAACTCCCCTTATTTTACATGTCAGTCTGTGAAAACAGTTGTATAATAACATCTGTAAATTTTTGGCTACATATTTACAACAAAAAGTCTTGAGTTACAAACTGACAGTGTGGCACATGAAAGATGTGGGTATTTACCAGGCAGCAAGGACTTAACAAATATACTAATATCTTTGACTACATTCAGTATCTTCAATTAGGACCATTTGTCTCTCACAAGTCTCCCAACTTTATGAAGGTGCAATACCAAATGGCTGAATTACTCTTATAATGCTAATGTGGCATGCTAACTTCCTCTGACATCATCCTCACTGTAAACTTTAAAGGAATACTCAATGTTTCTGGTGAACGCACAATCCAAAAATGGGGGTAATTCTTGATAAGTTGAAGTTATAGGGGTCAGTGTCCGCGAGGTCACTCCCAGGGCTCATTTATACGCAATGTTAGATACATATATGGACATGGACGAAGCCTTCGGTCCGTACTCTGTGTTCATTTCATCTGTATTTGTGCACGTTTTTTGAAAGCTTACAGATATAGATGAAGCAGAGCAATGCCACCGGAGACTGTGGAGGTGGTATAGTTTAAGGGAAACACAACCATAGGAGACGACGAAGACATTTAAAAATTTGCAGAACAGAACAAATCAATAATACAGTGAAAAGAATTCTCCATCCACATATCAGGACATATTTAAGGTTTCCCACTGATCTGTGATTGAAACATCTGCTGCCTCAAATAGATTTTAGAGATAGTTTTTGGAGCTTGACCATTCATTAGGATTGCTATTGGAATATATAAACTGTTCAGTTATTTATAGCACCACACTGTCGGAGTGCAGGGCACACTCAAGATGGAGCAGCAGAACATAAGGCACATTGAAAGTGAAAGTTAACTATTCATTGCGCTGGGTGGGTTTACATTCACTCGCAACAGCTGCTCCTCCCATCCATTGATCTGATCTGATCAGCTCTGAACGGACTGACAGATCAATTACCCACCCTGGAAAGAAGAACTCCTAGAGAGCTGTGTGGGCGCTGCGTTCACAGACCCACAAATACCTCTGAATTTACAGACGGGACACCAAGTGATACAAAGGGACACACAGGCATTTAAAATTAGAAAAGAGTTTGCTGTTGTTGTGCGTGTGAGAAAAACAGTTTTCCTGCCAAATTCAGCGTAACACAGGGTGTGCACTTACAAAAAGGGTCATTTTGTTTTGGGTGAAGTTTTCCTTAAAGCTGTTTTTCTGCCCCACTAGTAGAGATCTAAAAAAGCCAGACTTGTGAAGTTTCCTTCTATTTCCTTCGTTTTCTTTCTGCTGTACAATGAGCATGACAACCTTTGAGGCTGTTAGCGTTCGCTGGCATGTGATTGCGTGAGGCTTCAGTCTAATAAAGCCCAACACTGGGTCAAAACCCATTAGTCAGTTGCTACATGCGATTGCCAGGCTTTTAAAGTCTGCTCTGCCACGATCGTATAACAACAATTGCCAACAATTTCCTCCTCTACTTAAATAATACCAGCATGCCCACAGAGCGTGTCAGTGCTCTCTGTGTTCCAGCTTCTCCCCACTGCTTCACATCAATACTTACACACATGAAAAGGCGGAGGGGTTGTTTTTTTGGCCATTATTACATTTACAGATGAGTGAAACTTTACATCGGCGGTCACTGCTGAACGTAGCAGATATGGGCTCTGGACCACACTTGTTCCCTCTTTGTACAGAAGATCTCCGTGGGTCACTTCCTCAAGTACACGGAGGATCTAGTGGGAACAGGCTAGAACATGAGGTGGTTTTGGAGCCCATCATGTTCAGTCCTCTGTGGTGAGGTGGCTCTGTAGATATTACCCACAGTCCACCACTCATGTCATTATCTGTACTGATGGGTTTCATAGAGCAAGTATCTGTTCTTAAAGTAAGACTAAGGCTGCATTCAGACTGAAGATTTGTTTCTGAAATCAGATCTTAAGGACAGACTGTAATTGTTAAGCAATCAGATCGTGTGTCCAGACATCACCAGCCTATCTGCCTGGGTTGCTGTGGTAACGGCATAGGCATCAGTAACTATGTAGCTGTGTTATAGATGCATATCGACTGAGTATTTGAAACTCATTTTCCACAGTGTCAATGCACCGGGACTCGCTGTGCTTTCTTGCTGTCTCTTGTTAATGTTTACTTCAGTCAGTCTGTTGTTCTCCGTTGTGCTCAGCACTTCCGTCACTCTGGATCTGACGTTGCCGTTGTGTCTTGTCTGGCAAGAGCTGCAAAAGACACTCTAAAATCCAATTTGAGCATCCAGAGCAGCCTGACTGAGACCAATGTGTAGAAAAATCCGATTGGAATAGCATTTCAAACCACCTCCAAATGACGTATGAATCCATTTTGCACAAATTGCATTTCATGTGGGTTTTTTGCTGCCCAGACCTTCTAAAATAAATCTGAATATTCCAAAAAACAGATTTGGGCTGGCAATCTGATCAAAGCCTATATAAAACAACACATTCTTCCCTCTACAAATAAAAGTCTGATTGCTAAGCAAGAGACGTCTGACGTTTCTTCAGAAACTGGGAAAGCCAGATTCAGTCAGGAGTCGAGGCCAGTGCACCTTGGAACTATATTTTATAATTTAACAATTATACACTAAGTCAAGGTAAATAAAAAGTAACCAAGAACTAACAGTAAAAGTCAAATCTGGCACCAGCAAAAGTGGCGCATGTCGAAGTTAATCCAAATGTCAGCCAGAGTTGATTTAGTATCTACAAGCTGAAACATGAAATTCAGGTGGCAGCAGCTCTTGCCGGTCACAACCGGGGTCACTTGTCCAACATCGAGCCAGACTGAAGTTTTTCTTTCTGCCACCAAGCAACAAACACAATGAACTCTTCTATTTAGTATTGGCATCCTGCTTCATCAGCCAGTGAAGCCAAGTGTTTTTGGCAGAGCTGATTTGGCACTGCAGTCCCTCGGCCAGAAAGAGAATCATTGTGGGCCATCAGCAGAGGAGGGTCATGCAGAGCTGATGCTGCTCGTTAGGCATTCAAGTCCATGAGTTTTGTTTTGTCCTGGTTTTAATTATTTGTTAGTTTATTGATTGATTGAAGATGGTCGTTGTATTTTAAGGCACTTTTTCTGACGAGCATTTCATGAAATTTATCTGCTTTGCTGGCCAAGGTTTGTACCTTCATCAAAATGAGACCTTCTTAACTGTTAGTCACTTTGATCTTGTTTTGCCAAGTTTGCCGAGCTCTGTGTTGCTGTTGAAGCCCGAGGCAGGTTGTGACTGCAGTTTGTGGCGGTGGTTCTGCTCTTGGCTCGAAGGCAGGGAGTTACAGACAGACTCCTGAGATGTCACAATGATTTGGCTGACATCACTCTAATCTGTCTGTAGCAACAGGGACTCCTTTCCCAGCACTGACTCAGAGCTGTGGCTAATGTGGGAAAAAATAGTGGTTTCAACTTTCAGCATGCTTTAATTGCAGAAAAGGAAACAGTGATCCTATAGCTGTGACCCAAATCCATACAACATGCTCATTCTACACAGGTTTTGAGTGTGTTGTGGTTTCCAACAAACCAAATAAAGTATACACAAAACAGTCAGTATGACATGTAAAGAACACTTTTATGTGAACTGCATAAGGAAATGGAGGAACTTCTCACGGCTATGAAAAATTAAAACACATTATGAATGGTTTTGAAACACTTTCAAGAACATTGCAGGAAACAGAAGTAACTCTTTTTTAAACAAAATTTATTTGGCAGTGACATTATGAAGTTGCTGTTGATTTGAAATCCAACAGTACATGTACCGTAGCATGTACTGTATGAAATGGTTGAGTATGCTAATGGCTATTGTAGGCCTGTCATGATACTTACGTTATCAACTATCGTACGACATAAAGATTTGACCTTGATCATTTTGACGAACTTGATATTGCCCATTGTGTTAACATGTGGGTTTCTTAACATAAGAATGTCACCAATATTTTTTGCCAACATGATGCCAAAATAAAAATCAGGGTCTTCACCACCATTACTTTGACAAAGTGAATGTCCCTTTTTTTCTCCAACTCCGCCCACTTGTAAGAGTCTTCACTCCAAAGACGACACAGTGTAGCTTACCGGTAGCCTGTGGCTGCACATTTGGAGTGACAGTCCTGACAGTCGTTTGCTTGCCAACTCCTGGCGACGAGCAGGAAAGTCTGTCGTTTTTAGTTTTACACTCCAACAACTTCATCATCTGCTCCGTAAATGCTCCAGCAGACTGCCTGGCTCCCAGGCCATTGACACCACCCCTGGGAGTCGATTGCAGCACACCTGCCAGATGATGGAGGTTACTGCAGTGGTACTGGAGCATAACTAACCTCGTCTAGAGGCATCACTTGGTTTGTTACCATAATTTTATATATATTTATTGTTTATATTAACAAGTGTGAATTGCTTTTTTTAAAGCCTTATTTTGTTTTTCATGTTCCAGTTACAGTGTGTGAATATCCTTAAGAATTAAAAGTTCATCGCTCTTTATAAGGTCGTACTCGCATTATAATATCAGTGGTATAAAATGGAATCAAAATGACGTTGATGATGTTATATTATTTGTTGCAGTTATTTCTGGGACAATATATTGTCCAACAAAAATAGTCATCGTGACAGGCCTAGTTTTAACTGTGAATACTGTGTATCATAAAGATTATACTAACATTATGTTGCATAATATTCATGATGGGACACATCCTGTGTTTCAGAATAATTCCTAACCTCTCTGTAATTATGCATTTTTACCAGCTTCTGTTTTTCCTGCCTCACTTTCTCTCTATGTCACTGAGGTACATGTGTAGATTTTCCCCTGAGCCACATCTAAAATGTAGGTATAACACTTAGATCTCATGATTAAACCTGAAATCAACATTTTCTGTCCTGAGGTATGTGCATAATTAGTACCCGAGTACCTGGTTGCTGAGAGGCGGACACATTATGTCACGTTGCGTGAGAGAGAAGTTAAAAGCCAGATGAAATGGGAGTGTAATCTAAATCTCAGAAAGGGAAATCAGGCGGTGTTAATGAGAGAGAAAGCACGTGAATGTGAGCTGGTCTGAGGGAGTTGAAAGTGTCAGAGACTTGTGGCTCAGACCTGTAGAGGGAGGTGACATCATAGCGGATTCCAGACAGCGTGAGAGTAAAGCAGGTGTTGCGGCCGTGTCAGCGCTCACAGTGGGAGGAGGGCAGAAAGCAGCACACTCATCTCTGACGAGCACAGCAAAGCAGCAGCCTCACAGTCAGCATTTCACTTCTTTCTGCTTGGAGTCAACATTTTGAAGATCGGTGCGTTTTTGTTTGTGGTTCCCAGGTGGCCGGAGAACACAAGTACCACCCAGAGTGCTTTGTGTGTCTGAGCTGCAAGGTGGTGATTGAGGACAGGGATACCTACGCTTTAGTTGAACGATCCAAACTCTACTGGTAAGTCATCTGCACTGTTCTGTTTTAAAGCTTTATGCAACGTGGACTTCAGAAGGAGTTGGGAACACATGCAGCTGGCAGTTATTGCTGAGGCTTAACATCCATCTCATATTTATGCTAATTATATAGTGTAGAAGTAAAGGTTGTGAGTAATTGTGGAAGTAATACTGTTTCTGTATTTGAACACAACATGCTTTTATAGAGTTCTGGTTAGTGCTTGTTACAGGAACCATATTGTTTTGTGGAGGAATGAATGGCGTTTGTTCTTCATAGTAACTTCTTCCCTGTTCTTACATGAAGCGTGCATTTTTTTCAGTATACATGTGAGTTTATTATTCAAAGATGGCTTTGGAAAATAACAGTGTCCTCAAGTTAATGTTTAATCATTCGTTAACTATTATTTCTTGACTCTATGCATCACTGAGCAGTAACTTAACAACAAGCATATGTCCACTCATGTAGTGATTCACCCCCTTTTCCTGTTGTGTGCAGTGGGAAGTGCTACAAGCAGGTGGTTCTTACACCCATGTTGGAAAAGCGCTCCCACGACTCAATCCTTGACTCCCTGCCCCACACGGTGACCCTCATCTCGATGCCCTCTGCAGCCAACGGCAAGAGGGGCTTCTCTGTCACAGTGTTGAGGGATGTCAATGGATCGGCGACTGTTCAAGTCAAAGAGTAAGTGGGACCTGACAGAGGCTCGTCTCCATACCTAACCTGCTGTTTAACGTGGGCAGCATGAGTAATGAAAAACTGATTATAGGTTTGCTAAATGGCAGGGCACTGATGTGTGTGTGGAAGTGTGTGGAGGCAAGAGACGGCAGTTATTGATAGTTTAATATGATGTCAGAGTGTGACCCATTTCTCCTTAACCCTCTGTCTTTATATCTGTACATTACCTCTATGATGCTAATACTCACGTATAGCTGTTGGCACTGTGTTCTTCCAGAGTCAGAGGGATGCTTATTAGTCCAGAGGTGCGAAATGCCATCCACGTTGGGGACAGGATTCTGGAGATTAACGGCCTTCCTGTTGGGACACTGATGCAGGAGGAGGTGGGTTTGTACCTCTAACACACTTCACTGATTCTCACAGAGTGTTATGCAGTCCGACATTCTTCAAATGAAGCTAATTAGCGTAGCTAATAAGGGCAAGTCCATTCCATGTGTGCAATTTGCAAAGCTATGTTCTTGTTATACAACACATGCAAATGTGAGTTTTGGCATTCCTCACATTCCCCCATCATTTGTACATTCTTCAGCTGGGAGAGGACGGTATGTGGAACGACTGCACTTATAGTAGTGTCCCATCTCAAATGTTGCAGTATAGTTCCTGCGATCAGGTCATGCTTTATAATTAGTTTTGACTGTTGATGTGATTTAAGTCATGTCATGTGAACTAATCTAACTCCTCTGCTCGCCGCGTTTGCATTAGAAGTACAGTCAGTCGCCAGTTTTTTAGGTACACTTAGCTGACAATAATGCAGTCTGCAGAATACAACGGTCATGCAGTAACTCCTCCTGTCGTGACTGTTACAATCTTTTTTTTTACATTACAAGACTGGTCCATAAAAGCAAAAAAAGAGGCACTTCCCTTCCATAAAAAGAGACACATGATCCGATTCATACCCATTATCCCCGGTTCGGAGTTTTGATTATATTTTAGTCCCAGAGATTCCTGCAGTTTCTTTCATTTCTTTATAATCTTTTTTCATTGAAACTTATTTATAGAGGTGTTGATTCAACTATATGATCATTTTGCAGGATGTAGTTTGTGGTGCTGTTAAATCATATCGCCTTATACAGAGAAGTTTTTCTGATATCTTGTTAACCTTACTTATATAAATGAGGGAACCTCTCTGTGTTAGACTGCATTACTTTTAGCTTGGTGAGTGCATATGTAATACTTAAACTAAACTTCTTAGACTTTGAAAGACTGTTTGCTTTAATGAATGCTTCACTCTAATTTGTAATAGAAGTGTGTTTTATCCACATAAAACATGACATACTTTTGAAAGGAATTATTATTGTCCTACCTTATAAACTAATGAATATTAAAATAGAAGAAGAAAGAAAATTCTTAAGTATATTCAGACTTTGGAATTTGGATATAAAAAAATATTTACAATTTTTAATCTAATAAAGCATAAATAAAATAAAACAACACAACGGAAACAATAAATAAAATGCACTCTCAGGCTCTCTTAAGTTGCACTTAAATAAGTATTAAATATTTGGCACATGGGGATACAGAGTCATTCCTCAAAAGACAATACCCTGCCAAACCCTGCTGTTTATTTTGCATCATGATGGCTAAAATAGTGGTGACATTCTTATGTATACAAACACGCATGTAAACTCAAGGGCAATGACCTAGAGAGTTTTTGCTGACCTTGATAAGTCGATAAGTAAGTAAAATCAAATTGTATTGATGATGAGGACTCTCCTGAGCCTAATATATGTTCTCAAAACCCCATTAACTCTAACTCTCGTTTATTTGTGTAGGTGGATGATCTTATTCACTGCACCAGTCACACGCTGCAGCTGCTCATAGAGTATGACCCAGTCAGGCAGCGTTTAGACCGGCTCAGGCTGGGATCACCAAGAACCCATCTGGGAGTCCCAGCCACCTCACGCATGCGTCTGTCGTCACCTTCTGATGCGGTACTGGAAAGAACCGATGTGGTCGATGAAGGCACACTGAAAAGAAGGTCTTTGAGGTATGTTATAGCAGCCAGTAACCACACAGCTTACATATTGTGGGTCTGTATAGATGAGTGTACATATTTTTTGTCATTTTTAATCAACCCCATACTCCATATTCCAGGCGCAGTAACAGCATATGTAAGTCACCTGGGCCAAATTCTCCTAAAGAGACGGTTTTCATTACAAGAGACATTGGGCGCTCTGAGTCCTTGAGATCCTCCAGTAGCTGCTCTCATCGCATCTTCCGGCCATGTGACCTCATCCACGGAGAAATCTTAGGAAAAGGCTTCTTCGGACAGGCCATCAAGGTCAGCCTCCTGATTCCATCAAATCTCCACCATCTCACATATTTGATTTGTCATGCAAAGGGCTTCAAGCAGTAAAAATGCTGCTTTTGTCCCACTAACAGGTGACTCATAAAGCCACAGGAGAGGTGATGGTGATGAAGGAGCTGATCCGTTGTGATGAGGAGACCCAGAAGACTTTCCTAAAGGAGGTTGGTAATCTGCAGCAGGAGGCCTGCGCTTTCTCACAGACAAAACAGAATCCTCTGGCTCTGCATGGAGCTGTGATTTATTGTACTCACAACTGAAAGCATGCCACATGTGGGAGCTGGTGTTCTGTACCTCTTTGTGCCTTGTTGTTTGGAGGGTTTTGCTCCAGGCTTGCACGAAAGCAGTCTGATTTTTATGGTATTTTTTCTTCATGGATTACATTTGTGGAAACTGATTAGATATTATCACCTTGCAGTCGTAAAAGTAGACATCTTCTGACCTCTGCCTGTGTTTCTGCCTGATTTATAGGTCAAAGTGATGCGATGCCTTGAACATCCCCATGTCTTGAAGTTCATCGGTGTGCTCTACAAGGATAAGAGGCTCAATCTGATAACAGAATATATCGAGGGAGGCACTCTGAAGGATTTCATCAGAGACACGGTGAGTTAAACCAGTCGATTCATTAAACCTTCTTCCTCTCCTCCTCCACAGTAGAGCACAAAACACCCCTCAGTGGCCACAGTGAGATCTGTGTGCAGCTCAGAGTCATGTGGGAGGGGGCTGACCTGAAGTAAACTCTGCACTGGTGGGGGGCTCTTGGTTCTTTAGTGGCCCGGCTGGCATGTCAACAGGCCAAGACCTGGAATGCGACAAGCTGTAGAAAGTGTTTCCAGGTGAAATTTAAAGGGGACCCCTCCTCCCACAGCTGACTACCTCAAAGGAGCATTTCAGTTCAGCATATGGCCTGGAGAAGAGAGTGAAGGCTTTTTTGTCTCTAATTATATTTAAACTATGTTCAGGAGGGACAATTTTGAGGTTTAATTGTGTTTACCGTTCCTGTTGAATATTGTTTTCCTGTCTCTACCTTGGTGCAAAAGTCATTTTGTATTGATCCCTGTTATGCATTATGGCCTCTGGAGGAGCTTCTATTCATTTCTCTGTCTTGTTTTTTTTGTCTTTACTTGGGACTAACAGGATCCGTTTCCATGGGAGCAAAGGGTGAGCTTTGCAAAGAGCATCGCTTCTGGCATGGTGAGTTGGCCTCTTGCAAAGGCATTAGTATTAGAGAAATCTCAGGCTGCTATTTCCAGCTGCCCAAATGTGAAAAAATGTGCTCTGTGGCACAGGGAAAGATTAATAATGGCATCAGTCACAGAGGACATTTAAATAGTGCTGAAAAGTTTTACTATATAAACGTGATTTTCACTCTTTCCTGTTTGTTTCAGGCCTACCTCCACTCCATGAGCATCATACACAGAGACCTCAATTCTCACAACTGCCTGGTTAAACTGGTAGGTGACATGGCATCTTACCAGCCATTACATGTCATAGAATCTGAACAGTAGGAACAAAGGGTGTGAACGATTTGTTCTGTTCATGAACCGAGTAAAAGTTGGCATGCGTTCTGTTGTGAGTAGAAGTAGTTCCCAGGCCTGTTATTTGCTGAGACAGTGTGTCTGCATGAGCAAGGCTAGCTGTAAAATATTGTAAGCAAGTTAAGTATGAACTAAAGAGAGTATTGCATTATTTCAGCAGATTCTGATCTAGAGCCTGCAAGAGACTTAACCACACTTATGATTCCTTGATATTAGCATAGTGTTCATTCTTCTTCCATAAGTAACTAAAAATGTTGCCTCAAGTTCAAAATGAACCATTAAGCGTCATCTCTCAACAGGACAACACTGTGGTCGTCGCTGACTTTGGACTGTCCCGACTCATTGTGGAGGACAAAGTTAAGCCTCTGCCCGAAAAACCAACCAATAAGAAGAGGGTGTTCAGACGCATCGACAGAAAGAAGCGGTACACTGTCGTGGGAAACCCTTACTGGATGGCTCCAGAAATGCTAAACGGTGAGCTGCTGACGATAAAAGAATTACCAAACTGATTTACAAAAGATTATTTCCTCTGTGAGTGAGGCAATGAGTGCATTTCCTTTATCCTTTTACTCAATATTATTTCAGGTAAACGCTATGATGAGAAGGTGGACATTTTCTCCTTTGGAATTGTGCTCTGTGAGGTAAGAACATATTTCGTTTTACCCTGATTATCTGCTTTGATTTTTGGATAGCATAGGCTGTGACTGCAATGCTTTTTGTCAGGCGATTCTAAAATCCTGGATGTGAGAGCTTTCAGGAAAACACCAAATTATTGCTGTCAAAGCACAGGGCTGGGTAATGTGGAGAAAATCAGATACAATATTTTTGACCTTGGTCGATTATTGACTTGTTAACTTTCACAAAATATTTACACAATGAGGTTTTTGATAAATGATCATCAGTGATGTGGATACAATGACTAAGTGGGTAAAAACAAATAGAACAGCTAGAACAGTCTGGTAAGTTCAGAAATCTACATCACTTTACTGTAATGCAGCCTTTCAAACCAGGAAAAGGCAACTTCTGGTATTAAGATATCTAAAATCTAGCAGCAAAAACAAAAACACAACTTTAAAACCATTCAAAAGTCATTTAATAAAAGTTAGAGAAAATCCCAAAAGATGAAAACAGACAGCTGCTGGTTTTAGGCTACAATAAAAAGATCCATTTTGAGTTGTTAAAAACGTCCACTGAGTCAGAAAGTCTTATATTTAAAGGCAGTGGTCCTTATTTTTGGTGCGTAGTAGCTGTCAGATCATCATCACAACAAAATCTTGTCAAAACATTAGATCGCCAAGTAACTTTCAAGTCTCAACAGATGTACAATGTAGTTGTATTCTTTAGTAACATGTTGCAGCCTGTGCCTAATTTTTTCACCCTGATATTTCTGAAGTGTTGAGGCTGACCTCCTCCTCCGTCTCCTAATCCAGATCATTGGAAAAGTCTATGCAGACCCCGAGTGCCTCCCCAGGACTCTGGACTTTGGCCTGAATGTTGGCAAGTTTGTGGAGAAGTTCCTCCCTGAAGACTGTCCACCAGCTTTCTTTCCACTGACCGTGGCCTGCTGTGACCTCACACCAGACAACCGGTGAGCACCTGCTGTTTTTGTAACAGGCACTATCTTCATTTATTATGAAAAGCAGTGTCAGAGCGCTGCGTCTAAATAACCCGAACAAGGCCAAATGTAGAGATACGCAACATGTTGTACTGTGCAGCTAAAAAGGGAATAACAGTATTTATCAATCAGTCAAAGAGAAATGTGTCTGCTTTCACGTGGAAAGATATTATCCAGCCAGTTATTTTATCTCAAGAGTCTGCAGAAGCAGCGAGGGAGAAAAACAACTGCCAAAAAAACAGATGCCATCTCAACCTGCCTGTACAAGGGCGTGCCTCTGCTGCCAGATGGCTTCCTCATGTTTTCTCTCAACCTTGTCAGTCTGGTTTTAACCTCAAACCCCTTTGTGTGCCTTCCCTGCTTTTCCTCCTCCTCCCCCCTCCTTTAGTCCACCTTTCCAGAAGCTGGAGGACTGGTTTGATGCTCTGTCCCTCAACCAGGAGCTGGGAATCCCCCTGCCAGCTGAACTGGATGAACTGCATCAGAGCGTGAGTCGACTTCACTGGCCTAAAGACGGCTCACCATCCCAGAGCACAGATCAGCCATCAACGCCAACAGCGGCCTCTCCAGACTCTTCCAGCATGACAGACGGTGGCACCTAGGACCTGTGCTTCTCTTTTATGACCCCTGTGAACTGCTGCACTAATACCGTGGATGAGGAAAAAAAGGGAGGGAAATTGCATTGAACCCGAGCCATATTAAAACTGGATAACCTGAGGTAGCTGGACCAGTCTCCCCGTGTGGGACCTTAACTTTGAGAGTGCCAGTGAACTGCACTGTGGGTGGAAAGACGCATTTCAAAAAGACAAGTGTTAACTTACTAATTATTTTTACCCTACTAAGCCCCCACTTGACACGCAGGGTTGTTTTAATGTTTACTGTGTATAAAGACGATATGCAGCTTTCTTTGGTCATTTCCCCGACATAAGACAGACATCTTTATAAGGTGTAAAACCTCATTGAGTCAGATGTGTCAGCGGTTTTGTTTTTCAGGCTCTGAAGTTGTTGTTTGCTATGTGTGGAATGCACAGATCAGTCCTCGTCCACCAGAGGACTCACTTCACCTCACTGCGGCAGCAGAGAAAACAAAGATGCTGCACAGTCTGGCTGATTGACACGTCTATGTAAACACAGGGCGGTGCTTGGAGAAAAATGGTGTGACTTGAAGCAGCAGTGGACGCAAACCACACTCTGCCCTCAAATAGTTCGTCAGTCTGACATTTGGCACACGGAGAAGAAATAGTTAGATTTTTTTCCATCTAAGCACCACTGATCTAGTTTTTGACGAGATGGTTACAAGTATGCTTCTGTACTTTGTAGTCTGATGATTTTAATTATTTCTTAGAATGATGAACGAACACTACTTTTGTTTCTATCAAACACTTGATGTCTATGTTAAAAACCAGGGCAGAAGCTCTTTTGGAAAGCAGCGCTGTTATTAATAGACATAATCATGCAACAGTTGACCATAGAAAGTTGTTTTGTACAGATGAACTGGATTTTTTTGCCTTAAGCAATGTATATAAATATGTACATATTATGTCTCTAATTTGATATTTTTTTTCTAACAGGAACTCTAGATTTGTAGATTTTTAGACATTTCGTCAATGATGGACGTTTTTGCCTTTTTGCTATCAATATGCAAGGTACTGACGACCAGTTGTAACCACTATTATTATTTATATCCCTGTAGTGTTTAAAAATAAACCCTCCTAAAGTTGGCTTTTTATTGTCATTCTTTAATTTTGCATTTAAGAAAAAGACACTGTGAGGGAATTTCTTAAAATTTGGCACAAACGTTCACTTGGACTCAACAATGAACTGGAACAATGAGTGTGACCTCACAAAATATATTCCTGGCCATAACTCAAGAATTCATATGCTAATTATGACAAAACTTCACACACGTCTAATAGGATAAAATAATGAAGTGATGACACTTAATATCCAAAAGGTCAAAGGTCAACTTCACTGTGACATCATAATGTTCTGCATAAAACACTTTACTTGCCATTATTCAATGGCAAATCTCAGGAACAGAAGGGGAAATATTTGGTCAGATACTGAATTGGTGACACTAGTCTTGAGTGTCCTTCTTGAAACTGTCTGATTGTATAGATCTTCTGTGCTGTCAAGGGAAAGATGGGTGTGAAGCATTGATGTTTTCACAAACATGGATATAAACTCTAAGAGAACTTGAGTGGTGCGCGGAGGCATACAACCACAGGGCAGTAATAGTTATCTACACACAGAGTGGTTCCTCTTTCATGGAGTCTGCCATGTTGTTTCTATAGTCGGCCAGAATGGACAAACCAAACACTGGCTCTACTCACGGCTGTTCATGTTTTTCACTTCGGCCACCATATTTCTCTGCAACGTCACCCCTAGATGCCACTAAATCCTACACACTGAACTTTTAAAACACACCCAAAGGATTTGGGTTTTTTCTTTTCCCACAAAAAAAAAAAAATCTGTTGACAGCAAAAACAAAATATAAAAAAAGGGAGACACTGAAATTATCATTTTTTTTTTTCAGGGAATTAATTGATAAAGGGCTCAGTTTTAATTTTGACAAAAGCTAAATTATTGGCCTTGTTTGTTTCATGAAAATAAATCACAAGGTGTTTATGACGATTACCCAGACAAAAGCAGATTTAAGACTTCACCTCGGTGTGCATTTGCCATTTTTAACGTTTTATAGAGTAAATAATAAGTAGGCTGAGGCCCGTTTTCAAAATTCATATGTTGTTACTATAGTTTAAGACAGTCCAAAATAGATATGAGTGTAGGAGCCATAAATTGATTTAGAAGGGAATGGATAAGTAAGACTGATAAGTCTGAGTTTGTATTTTTGTATTGTTAGATGTTTGGTTAGTGTTTTGGGATATTGTTATTTATCATTACTTTGTGATTGCGGGAGAGTGGGGTCACATGGGATTGGACAGTGACACTCATGATCTATATGAGCATCTCTTCTTCACCTGGATTTTTTGGTTGGAGAGAGAGGGTGAGTGGGTCGCTGTGTTTTTTGTCGACTGCACATCATCTTAATAAAAGTTTGTGCATGCTATAATAAGTTGATTCCTTTTCATTAATATATTTATTTAACCTAATTTTGGATCTCAGTGAATCTTCTGTTGGCCTGTCAAACCAGTTAACCAGGCCCAGCCTCAGCCTCTCAGCAATTTTTAGTTTGTTTCCTGCAGTCGCTACAATGAGTAAACATGAACAACTCTCTCCCTCATCCAAAAATTAGGGAGCAATGTCTCAAATTTGGAGCTGCTCCACAGACAATGAATGGTGAAAGATGTTCTAGATGACACTAAGAGCATCTAGGGGAATGTTCTGAGTACATGGGTACATTTTCTGTTTCAGAGCTGAGAACATTACCATAGAATAAATATGATTTTGGTATCAAAAAAGAAATCTGTGGGTCCATAAAATCAATCTCCCGTTCATTGCCTATGGGGCAAACTTTATACTTGATGACATCACAACTTTTAGACTCACTTTCTGTTGTTGTTTTTTTGGGTTTGAGAGAGAGTAGCTCATGTTCACAAATATTGACTGAACTTTCCTAGGGCGTGGAAATAACGTATTGGAATTCTAAATGTAGGTGGTGTTTCCCTTTAATAACAAAATATTCTATTGATAATTTTACTCATTACTTGCAGCCTTAAAAATTAATGTGAATCTTAAAAAAAAATGAGATTTGTCAAGTGAGGTGTTTGGCTTTAAAGTTAATGTCTCACATCCAATTCAAAATAATTAAAAAATCAAGTGTCACTATCAAAGTGTGAAGAACATCCAGAAATCCAAACACCCACTTTTTTTCTATGAGAGTTTAGATGTTTTTTCAAGCCTCCTCAGATCTTTGTCCTACTTGTGCTTCTTACGTTGTTGTCTTAACCTACTTTCTCAGGTGACTCAACTGATTAAAGAAATGTGTTAAAGAACTGCCAACAGAGGGAGCTGGTGCAAAAAGTTCCTGCTGTGAAAAGCCCTGAATAACAAGTAACACTCCAAGCAACAGTGCTGTATTATGCAGCCCTCCCTCTATAATGTTAAATACACAGACAGATCACATCATAGTGCATCGGTTTGATGTTTTATTTCAGTCACAGCAGTGAAAATCTGCATTCATACAAATACAAATACTAAATTCAAATGACAAACAACAGCATTTTGAACATGTTGCTTATATGAAGAAAATATGAGTAACCAGCACACAGACACTTAAAATAAATGGAGCAGCAGTAACTTAAGATTACCAGTGATGTGGATCCAGCAATAATCACAAAACAAAATCATATGGAGTGATGGAGTGGTAACAATCTGGTAACACACTGGGAAGTAATGGTGCATTATGTGTAACAAAATAAAAATGTTCTGTGTACGATGATTTCTATTTCCAGGCAGGTATTTTCTAAAATGACTTCAATCAGTAGTTCTACTTTTTAGGATGCAGAAAAATGGCCCCTGAATACAAACATACAGCAGGTAACCATGTGCATGCACTCGTGTTTCTGAATGAACGAACATCAAACTTTGGACCGTTTCTATTCTACTCCATCCCTGTCTCTACCCTGAAGCTTCAAGTGCATAACTCAAATGTCTGAATCTAATCACCAGGCTTCTTCAGCACTTCAACACACTCGCCGCCCTGCTCTGCAAAGACAGACGTTTCCTTTTTTTCTGATTTCTGTCCTGTGTTGTGGCAGTGCTGTTTTGTCCTGAGAGGACTATCTACTGTCTCTCATGCTTCCTGAGAGCACTCTGTGTATTTCCTGTCACTCCTTAACCTGTGGAAGAAAAGGGCAAGTCCTCTTTCATGTCTGCCAGCGACCGCCCGTCAGTTGAGTACAAAGAGAAAAAAAAAAATCATCCGGGTTTAACATAAACAAATACATTCAGTAGTTTCATGCTAAGGCAGAGTTGGAGGACTTCCCTTGTCTTTAGTGGGCCTGTTTTACCTCATGTTCCCTCATCCTGTCACAGAGGAGGATATTTTTGGAGACATCTGTGTCACCAGTGTGTCTCCAAGACAAAGCAGTCTTTATACATCCACATTTCTTATCCACGTCTCCTTCGGCACAGCCAACAGGTCAATACAAATGAAACCTCCTGAGGAGAGCACCTTCTCCACATGGAAACATACTAAAAACAAAACATTATTAACCCCCATTCCAAACACAATCTCTTCATAAAGAACTGGTTTCATTACACACCATAACACACACTTGCTAATCCTGTAGACTCGAAATCCATACTGTGATTTAAGGGGGCAGCTTATGATCTTATTTTCTTGGTTATCAAATGTAACAAAAATCAATGTCATAGACCTCATGACATATTTTCATTAACAACAGATTCACCTCAGTGGTTTTTAGTTGTTAACATTATGTCCACAGCTTATCTTGTTTGTGCCTCCAATGTATAAAAACCAAAGGACAGGGGACACAAAGGACACAGCATTCAGTTCAAGTCTTTGGAGCAAACACTACTCCCCTACTCCTTTTAAAACAGAGGTTACTCAGGGAGGCAGAAAGGAGAAACAAAGATGTGTGAAGTGTTTTGGTCCACAAAATTATGTATCACAGTCCTGCGTTTGAGGACTTCATGCCAATTCATGCTCCGGGGGTCCCGGCTTGCTGGCCCATGAGAGGGTCCCCGCCCTCTATGCCCTCCTGGACGGGGGTGGTCTCGTGCTCTGCTGTGATCACGATGGTGTTCTCATCTACCAGCTCACAGGTGGGGTTGGAGAAAGCTGAGAGGGGCAGAGTGATCCTCTGCATCTCGCGCTCATACACTCGCTGCTCGTGCTGCTTCTTTAGGTCCCGGCCCCTGAACACAAACAACAGAGATCCATCAGTACGAGTGACTCCTCACATGCAAGTAGTCATGTGATCTGATGATAAAATATTGATTGTAGTCGCTTTAATTATCCCTTTCAGCTTAATATCAAAGCTGTCATGCAAATTAAAAATCAATGTCAAGTCTTATCATGATAAGTAGCTATCATAGTGATGCCTTAAAGGGTAACTACAGTATTTTTCAACCTGGACCCTATTTTCATGTTTCTGTGTCTAAGTGCCCAATGGCAACAACAGTTTTTGAAATCGTTGAGTATTGAGTGAGAGATTTGAAGCCAGCAGTAGCAAAACAATGAAATCACTGTGGGCATGTGTGCACTGTCAATTTACGTCAACTGAAAGTGCTTGATTTTGCTACTGACGTGTTAAAATTATTATCTTAAGTGTGTTGAAAATTTAAGGAGAGGATTACTGCAGACAAAGACCTTTTTTGTTAAAGAGTAGGATCCTTTTAGTTCAACCAGAAACAGCCCCGAAATCACTTTCGCCAAAGCCACCAGACTCCATTTAAACAAACAGTAATTTTATTATTGTAAAACACACTTCATTTAAAGTCGACTGAAACAAAACTAAACTCAAAAGAGAAGCCTTTGTTCGTCTTTTCACTGCTTTAACAATCACTGACTCTAGTTTGGTTGAAATAAACCCTCAATTCATCCAGTTAGATGTGAAAATGTGTTGGCTTGACACGTTAAAATTACTGTTTATTTAAATGGACTCTGGTGGATTTTGCGACAGTGATTTCAGGGCGGTTTCTGGTTAAACAGAAAAAGATCTTACTCTCTAACAGAAAAGTCTGTCTCTGTAGGGATCCTTTCCATAATGATGTCAGACACTTAGCCTGTCAGTGGCAAAAACAAACACTTTTAGTGGATGTAAACTGATGGTACACAATTGCCCATTAACGTTACATTGCAGTCTGTTTTACAGCTGCCAGTTGCAGTGCTCTTACTTATGCTGGACCAACTTCAAAAACTGTTGTTCCCATATTAGTCATTTAGATACAAAATCATGGGACAATGAGGTCCAGGTTAAAAAAATATCAAAGCTACCCTTTAAATACGCCTGTCTGTGTACAGCACCACTTTTAGGGGGCCTCCCAAGCTAAATATTCACGATAAGGAGCTTGAGATAACATACTGTACATAGATAACAGAGCCTGTTATAACAAGTGCCAGGTCTGCAGCAAAGGCAAGGGACAGATGGTGAAAGGGAACAGAGAGCTGACAAGCTGGCGAGTAGTTTATCTCCTTCAAGGCAACACAGTGATGGGGAGCAGCATGAGGCTGCTTTCTATTGATCTGGAGCCAAAACACAGCAACACACTCTTTGATTCAGAACACCTCCTACTTGCACGCTTTAAAGCAGCATTTAATGAAACTCTATATATCACCGCTGATTCTCGACACTGAGGTGTGGCTCATCTTTTTGTTTTTTTGCCCAGAATTAGTTGAGAAGATTAAGAGTACTTTAATGTCTGAGCAGGAGCCTGTAGATAGTTGGCTTGGCTCTGCACAACATAGGGAAACAGCTAGCCTGGCTCTGTCCAAAGGTAACAAAATTAACACCTCAAAATAACATGTTGTATTTATGTTGTTTAATATGTCAATGTGCTATTTTACTGGGGATAATGTGGAGGTATCAGAAACTTCCTGGAGCTGGCTGCCTGGCAAACTAGGCTAGGTGCTAGGATGGTGTTTTTGGTAGATAGTGGAAGGAAGCTTCTCTATGCTAATGCAAGCTATTGCCCTCTAGACTGACAAGTGTGTTCTTTGCAAGTGTTGTGTCAAAGATAAATTGTTCCTGTATCAGACAGAGATCGGCTAGCTTACACGGCCTACATTTGAGTCTCAGATTTTAAAGAACTGCACAGACATTGCCCCATTCAGCAGAGGAATGTGAAAACACCTCTCTAGTGACAGACTTTGCGAAGATCCAAACCCGTATAGTCAACTTAAAACAATGTAGGGCACAGAAACACAGAGTCTTTAAATAACAAGTACAGGTTGTTCACAAGAATATGATAAAAGACTGAATACTGCACAACAGTCTGATGTGATTTATTTTTAACAGTGGGGGCATCCCAATGGCACAGATTCCAGCTCTTGCTCATCACTGCAGAGCCTCGGGTGTTTAATCGTGCTCATGTTTAGGACGCCTGCAGGGGATCGGTGTCCTTGTCAGTACACTACCTACTCCTACTGGTTGGTCAAGAGCCTTTTCCCAACATTTGCATGCGTTACACTCTCTCTGGCCAGGAGAAGTCTAAAGTGAAGAGAGTCAACTTCATGTATATTGCAGGAGGCTTATGGTACTGTACAGCCACTCCTGGCCTATGGAGGGGCAGCTGAATTGGGCATGCTTGCCACACAACTTTCCCATTACTGAAGGTGATGTCACAGTACTCTGAAGGCAGATATAAACCCTCTGACATAACGTGCTGCTCCTCCTTATTAATAATCACCTCCTAAATATAGACAACAAAGACCAGGGCACTGCTAATCAGATTTGACAGCCAAACCCAGATCTGTACGGGTATTTTGTGCTGTGCCAAGGGGAAACACAACATTGGGGTCATCCTTTTGAACATTACATAACTGCAGCTAATGTGCAGGCTTTTCCATCCAATTCAAGCCTCTCTTCTCTTTTAAGAATATAAAATAAGAATGCTGAAAATAGACCGTAGCCATTTCATAACCTGCCATGTTCATCCCCATGTTCTGTCGCGGTTGTTATGGCATAAAGACATTTAAATCACTGCATTACATCAAAGAGGAAGAACAGAGTGCACCGGAATGTGAACAACAGCTGACGCCCTCGACTCAAGAGACCATTAAACATGTATGCAATCAGGTGTTTCAACAAATCACCCTGGCATTGCTCCTGCACATCTTTACAAGCTGTGAACAACACTACATGTGACAGTGGAAACAGGAAACCACAAAAAGGGCTTGAAGCATCACACTGTGACCTAATGTTGCAGTTACAGCAGACAATACAATGTAATAATGACATCCTGGAAGCCATTTAAATGCCTCTTTAAAGATGCTGTACATTGGGTCCTCTTAAATCAATACCTCTAACTACTGATGATCTTGCTGTGATTTAGATACTGACCTCTTATAGAAGTATCCAAATGTGATGCCTACTCCGAGGACAATTATAATCGCCATCATGAAGATGCCGATGACGTAGCCTAAAAAACAAAAGGTGACATAAAAGGTTAAAAACTCAACATACAAACTGAAGATATTTAGTTCATGTAGCAAAATACAAAACTAAGATGAATTCAAACTGGAAGTATAGTGCACCATCAGCATTAACAACATACCGAGCATGCCAAGGTCCTTTTTCTTTTTGGGTGCTGTGCGCACTCTCTGGCTGATTCCCATCACTGGCTGCACTGCAGCAACCTCTCCCTGAGAGGCTCTCGACTTGGCCGGCTGAAAGCTCTCTGTGGAGGGAATGGTTCCTGTGGGTTTGAGGGATCCGGTCGCTGCTGGTACAGTGGGGGCTTGTTCTAAAGACAGAAATAAACAATGCCAGTGTTAAACAAAAGTTGAATTAGTTTTAATTGGAGATGCTACTGTGCTGAGTTGTGCTTGTGTTGATGCACTTCCAATGGAAGCCACATCACTTCAAGTAGTAACTGTAATTTTTTAACTGTGAGGGCCCTGACAGTTCGTAACTGTTTGTGTTATTGCTCACTAGTGCACAGTAACAAAAACAATTATGGACAACCCGATGTTCTTTTAACATTGGGTTGCATTGTTATTGTGATAACTGGCGAAGTAGTATCTTGAATCCATCCTTTATTTCCTCTCACACAGGCACAGTATGTAAAGGCAAATTGTCTGTTGGCTGTAGTCTTTGCGGTGTGTTCAAGTGCAACTTTTTGGCCAAGACAAAGGCAATGTGAGGCAATGCAACAGTTGACCTTCATCGCCACTAGTTCTTTGATGTTGGTTTGGTGTGTCTGGGCCTTAACCACCAATAGAATATTTTACCACACAGAGTTGGGGCAAAATTAATAATATACTGTAGTATAAATGTGTATATCATTGATTTTGCAATGTGTTTTATACCGTGGTGCCGTTAGTTGTACCAACTTTTTAACTTTGTCCCCACTGGTGTTTCAAGTGGTATTATTGTTGTTGCCAATGTCGCAAAGTCAACTGGATTGCTTTCCGCTTTCCTTAGAGCCTAGCTATGTCGCTCTTTTTCTTTTGCTGGGTTGAGTTTCTACAGTTACTTTGGTTGCTCCACTGCCATTTCCAGTACTGGGTACTGTAGGTGCAAAGAACCTACACTGATGCTCTTTGGTGACAGGGGATAGCTACCGATAGCTACCAGAAAACGTGTGCTGTCCTCTTCCTGTTTTGGTTCCACAATCATTGACGTTCTTTCTTTGTGCCATAAACTGAGCCTTCATTTTCCAAGGAGATTGTACCCAGTGGCAGAAAAAATTGCACTGAAGTGAGATTTATAGGGAACCAATCTAAATGCAGATGGTGTCCGTATTCTACAGCCATTACTTTGTGCAATCAATATTTACTTAATAATGATAAGTTAAAGCAAAAAAAAAAGTCTATTTCTACATTAATATCTCAGGGTGTATTAAATCACTGTGGGTTATATTAGAGATCAATGAGCAGGACTGCTTTCATGAGGATTTTTATATGAGTTTTGCATCGATGTGATGAAGCGTCTATATTTGTCAGCTACTGAAATTGCTGAATTAGCCAAAAAGGTTGTGTATGTCAGGTTATTTTGCATAAACAGTTTATCAGTTGTTGTTCCAGAAAATGTCCTTTATCTCAATATAAAATATAATAATTATAATTGCATAACGTGTGGAGACACTTGTTGAAGTAATGCACTACTGGTGCATCATCTGGACAGTGTGGTTTCCAATTACTGTTAGTTCAACAAAGTTACCACTGATGCAAAAACCCTTCTAACCAGCAAGACAGCCCTGACACTGTTCTCATGAAGCTGGAACATAAATCAGGAAGACTGGTTTCGCACATGCCTTTATGTACCAGACATAAACAAGCTCTATCTCAGCAGACAGGAAGGTTCAGCTCGCACATGTCAGCATCTGCTCTTTAACTGGTTTTCCATTTCCTTCACATAGGTTGTTGTTTTCGAACTCCGGAGTTAAAAGGCATGACGTCATAAACTGGAGCAGCCAATTGGAGACTTGTCTCCAAGTGAAAACTGTTCCTCTCCGCCTATGAGCTGAGGTCTCGGGGGTGTGGTCAAGAGTTTTCTTTAAACTGAACTTTCTGACATGTGACTGCAGGGCTTTGTTATTGTGTGTCTTGGTTTGGCTTCGAGACAAGAAAGAAACAAAGGGCAAAGCAGACGAGACTTCTCACAGTGGCTTAACCCTGACCAACTGACCCACTGCAGACTAATACTTGCACATAGTTTATCTGTGGTAAACACACCAAGAGGAATCTTTTTAAAAACTTTTTTGTTGACCCATAAAAGTTTATAATTTGCCTGCACCATCTCTCATCGAGCTGTCTTTTTTGTTGTGATGACTAATTAGAACATTTGCATAACTCAAAAAAATTCACCTCATTATTTCTCCCTTGCATAGCCCATATTTTAAAATAATGAGACCCTTTCAAGGAAGAGAAAGTAATTGCTGGCAGCATCAACAGAGCTAAAAAAAACTCACAGAGAGAAAGAAACGCTGTCACTTTAGTATTGTTTTGTCCTTAATTTGGAGGTTGCATATTTGCCAGGTCGCACTTCTGCAGATGGGGCTCTATCTAGTTTTATACAAATGTTTAATTTCTTGCTGCAAATACCAGTTGGTTTGTTAAATGTTTACCTACCTTTGCATGTGTCAACTGCACACGATTGTCTCTGGACTGTCCCATCTGGGCCAGCAATGTAGCACCAAGGCCTCTCAGAGGAGTCTGGGTTTCGGCAGTAATTGTGATCTCCCACACCTACAGGAGGTACGATAGAAACAGCACACGACTGTTACTGATGCTTCTTGGAAATGTAGGCCTGTCTCTGGTCTGTCTGCCTGTCGTGCTGTGTGGGTAAACCACTGGATTCATTAATCATTTACACGGCTTCATCACACCACAATGAACAGGCCTCCATGAGCACAGAGAAAGGAATCGGCAGCTGGTGTGTAAGAGAAGCAATTTAGCACCATAAGCAGATAAATCAGTGGTTGTAAATATCAATCCTGTGTTTAGTTTGTAACGTGTGCAACTATGTGTCAACATCTCAGCAAAGATGTAAGAGCTGTTTGTTATCCTGTGGGGGAACTGTTGTACCTATCAACATCACTGACATTTTAAATACTCAGTTTCCTGCTGACTCCAACAGTCACTTCATTTTGTAGGGCAAAACAAGACACATTTATTCATGTTTTTTTTTTTTTTTTTACCTGTCTGTGAATCAGGATGGAGTTCAACATCATAGTCTCTAGTGGTGTTGGTCCAGTTTAAACAGGTCAGACCCGAGGAGGAGCTCTGTGTTTCCCCTCTGTACTCCACACCATTGGATCTCACGCAGTCTGAGAATAGCAACAAAACAGCATGTGAGCAAAACACATTTAAGTGATTGTGCAATCAAAAAAGAAAGGAAAAAAATATTATGATGCTTGGGATTTTAAGTAAAGGCTACACACTTTTTATAACAAATGACAAACATCATAATAATGTATTATTTTTTACCTTTTTCATTGCCATTTGATGCACTGCTCTCCACCACTGCCACGCTCAGGAAAACAACGTGCAGGGAGATGAACATTTTGCAGAGCTGACGGGCTGAATTCACCGACATGGTGCGCTCCTGTGCTTTTTCCCTTTCAAAAAATAAAAATGAAAATACAAAATGTTTAAAATGGGCGAAGAGCCTGTACTAGATATTCATCAAGCACACTGCTCTTCTCTCTGGAGTCCCAGCCCTTGTTTTTGTCAGAGGAGCTCAGCTTCTTGGTAAACAGCCTTCAGTGGGAGGAGGAGGAGGAGGAGGAGGAGGAGGAGGAGGAGCTGCCCTTTGCAGCACAAACCTCAAGGTCCTAAAGCCTCACCTGGTTAGTAACATACGCACACACACACACTCAGGAAATAGCATCAGCTGCATCAACTGTCTGGCAACTTATCATGGCATGCAGCCTTGTAAGAATAAACACGTCGTCAAAACAGTCAGCAGGGGAAGGCAACTAAGTTCATTCACATTTTTGTTCCAGTTTGCAAAAAAAAAAAGCAGATTTCTTATGGTCACTTCTGTAATTCATCCTCAAACGTTTTCCTTCTCCCCATCCAACAACATTTCCATGCTCATTAGTGTTTCTGAGCTTGTCTATAAATAACTGCTCTGCTCTCCATTTTCATTTGAAAATACACTGAGTCATTACTTTCCATTTATAATCCACATCCAACTGCAGAGTCTTATCTGGCTCTGAGTGCTTGGTGCATCCGTCCAAACCCAATCTTCCTGTTTCCCAGGCTTCCTCTCCACCAAATGAGGCCTGTTTTTCCTCTGGCCTTGGTCAGAAGAAGAGGGCTCCACAGAGGCAGATAGGGGACAGCTGCCAATAGTGTTTGCATGTATATGCCTGTGCACAGGGAGCTGTATACGCACAGCAGAGAGGCCCTGTGTCATTGTTGGCTGACTGGTAAAGAGGGCAGCCAGCGCCTGAGTCAGTCAATGTTCACTAAGCCACTTTTCAAATAGACGCTTGCCCGGTTTTCGGGCAATTACTAGTGCAAACACACAGCATCTGTCTGGCATTCTCCATCACACTCCGCTCATTCAGGGTTATAGGGGGCAGGAGCCCCTCCCAGCATGCACTGGGTCCATTTCTACCATTAAAAGAAAATTTCAAATAGAAATGAAATTTAAATTTCAGATGTTTTGAACATGCAGAATGAATAAAGAAATTAAAAATATAGGTAAGGAAAACAAAACCAGAATACACAGATTCAGAAAACAAGTATTTCATGCCTGAAAACAGTTCTGATAAATACAAAGTTGAGATAGAAAATAAAATAATAAAAAGATATATTTAAATACCCATGAAAAGTTTATCATAGCAACGTTTTATTTTCCAGGCAGAGATGGTCTTCCAGAAATTCATTAACTGAGCTAATGTCAAGTGATTTACTGAAGGTTGTGAAGCCTATTTCATAATCATTAATGTACTGTCTCAAATTCATCTCACTATATCATAAATCTGACTCCATTACCCAATATTCATCTTTTTGTCATCTTTTTGACTTTGTACATTTTAATTTTGAATTACCATGATTGTGTGTTGAGTGTTTTTGTTTTGTCATTTCTGGCTCATTATTTACAGAGAAATGCTTTGCAGAGTGGCACAGTAGCCCTTTGTTTGCAATATGCTTTAATGGAGATTTAAAGCTTTGGAAAATGGAACTCAGGAAAGAGAAAGACAAACATTTTATAGTTCGCTTTATTATATTCAGCAAAACAGCTCTTAAAAAATCTAAATGCATTTCATTCATCAAGATTCGTTACTGTATTTCTATTGGTAGAGTAAAAAACATTTGACTTTGCAGTTTTTCACCTGAGGAAAGAGGATCCACTTGTGACACAACAGTGGAAAAACACTCCTTCATGCTCCAAATGGTACACGTCTGTATGCATGTACACACACCCAGTAAAAGTGGTTGTACTTACTTGGCCTTATTCCCTGTTGCCACAGTTACTTAATCATTTAATTAGCAGCACGTAGGTGTACTGAGAGCCCAGAGACTCTCAGGAACAAAAAGCAAAGGCTTTTATTAAGCCAGATGGTCATTTTCCAGTTTTATACATACTTTGCCTTCAGTAAATTTCCAGCCCTTCTCAAACTTTGTTTTCAAGGTTGAGGAAGAAGACACAATATTGCACACGTCGTTCAAGCGGATAAGATTCTGTGTCTTTTGATTAAAATGATGCCTTTGTTTTCAGGCATACTGACAAGCTGCCAAGATATCAAACCACACGTTTTTCCAGCCTTTGTCTTGAAGTAGAGCAGAGTTCAAGCCTCCATTTGTATTTTAAAGAGACTGTGTTTTGAAGGTTTGTCTTAAATGACTCATAAATCTATGAAACTGAAATATATGGGTTTGTTTTTGTCTGGTAACATCAATACAGTCAGCAGCACACATCTTTCATCAACAAACAGATACTGTAGGTGACATGGAGCGTGGGATAAATCAAACTTTGGGAGATATCTTGATAAGACGATTCAAGGTTTGTCCAAAAATGTTGTCACAATTTTGACCGACAAGTTTCATTATCTAGCATTTCCTTATCTTGTCACGTCAACATGATGCACAATGTGTCAAGAACATGACAAGAACCACCTGTAGCTTCCTCAGAGGCATGCTGTCACCTCAGAGATTTGTGCACCAGGTGTTAATTATGATGTTGGCTGTACGGGAACAGATTGCGTAAGCTTTATGTATGAATCATTAATACAAGATTGATGTCATAGCTGTTGCATAATCTAGATGTTAATAAGCACATGATGCTTCATGCATACACCATGGAAACTTTAACTGATATAGAGATACCTCCTGTACATACAGAGACATACAGAGAGTAAAAAATTAACTCTCTTGGTTTACAGTCATATGTTGATAAATCTGTTGATATTATTCTGATAATTTAATCACCTCTGACAATACTAATGTGACATCAAAACTGGTATTGAATACTGACTCTTTTTTAAAGGTATTGAACCAAAGTCAGAAATTCCAGTATCATAACAGCACTTCAAAGGACATAAAAGTTCTGACAATACAACAATAAAACTTACACACACTTATAAAGGTCTAGTGTAGAGGACTACATTTGGATTGAAATCGCGTGGGTCCCAACACAAATCTCACAGGAATGGGCGGCTTTATCTTTGCCGCCGGTGGGATCAGGCAGTCAAAAAAAAACATGTGCAGGTCCCAGAGAATAATTAACATGAAGGATGCAGAGGTCAGCAAGTGAAGTGGAAAAGGAGCTAAAAGCAGGGCATTAGAAAACAAAGGAAAGGCAAGGCAAGCTGGATATTTGGAGGACTGTTTTAGGAATATTACTGATAATAATAATAATAACACTGAATCCCAGAGACACCAGAATAACTGTAATTATGAGTGTAATTACGCACTAGAATGTGATTTCACTACTTATTACAGACAGGTATGTGTGTCTTTAATACCACAGTAAAATCAGGTGTTCTCTCTGTAGGATGGCAGAAGACAGCAGAGGAGATACCTGTACACCAACGTAACTAGCCTGGACAGGCGTAAAAAGATCTACAGGCTGAGATCGATGCAAAAAATGATCAGTTTAATTTCATTTTATTTTATTATTTTATGTTATTGTTTCTGCCTTTAATGGATAGGACAGTGTAGTGTGTGTGTGTGTGTGTGTGGGGGGGGGGGGGNCGGCTGCAGTCGAACCTGGGCCGCTGCAGCAATGACAGTGCCATTGTACATGGGGTGCCTGCCCTATCCACTAAGCCACTGATGCCCCAATAGTCAATTTACTTAAGACATCTGTGCACAAAAATAAAGGTGCTTGAAAGTGCAAAAATAATAATAAGTGAATAAAAAGCTTGTGGACCTTTTTGAGGCTGTCCAGCCCAGTTGCATTGGTGTGCGGGTATCTCCTCTGCCATCCTTTCTTGTTTGTCTATTGTAACGCACCAAAGACAAACTTTTTTGATGCTTTAAGTAAGCGCAGTTTCACAGCACCCCTAATACTTTGCTGGATGGTAGAAGACTCCATCTATTGATACTGTGAAGGTATGTTTGGTCAGAATGTTTGCATGTGCAGGCGGGAGCTGACACACAGGAGCAGGTGGTAATGGTCAGAAATTCAGCAGAAGCGGGCAGGAGTGGGATGAGGAAACCAGTCCTGTGCAGGGCTCTGATCCAGTGTGTAGGATTAAGAGGCATCTAGCAGTGAGGTTGCAAAACTGGACCTTCTCCTGTGTCCCAAGCGTGTGGTAGAACTACGGTGGCTGATGTGAAAATGCAAACTGAGCCGAGTGTGTGGTTTGTCCATTCTGGAAGAACAGAAACAACATGGTGGACTCTGTTGCAGAGGACCCGCTCCATATGTAGACATAACGAAAATGCAACGATTCGTATTTTCAGGTGATCATAAACAAACATAGTTATGATTATTATGTACCATTTCTGCCAAAAGATGCCCCTAAATCCTACATACTGGACCTTTAACCAAAGCTCAACCATAGTTTGCACAAAGTCATATGTGTCAGTGTTTGTTTCATACTGAGAGCCACGCCTCTCAAACAACAGCAGTGGGATATCTGGTGATGTAAGACTGCTCTGGTGTGTGTGGTCCCTCGTATAGCAACCGACAGCTTTCTATCAGATCCAGTCAATCATCTTCAGCCCTCGTGTGGTTGGGAAAATGGACACTTATCCAGGCAGAAGGTCTCTAATGGACCATCAAAACATACACTTTATTCCCCTGCAAGGCACCAAGCGGCCAATTTCTCCAGACGCTATTGCATTACATCACCGCTGCTACTGTTGCTGCTGAGACATGACAAACTGCTTGGAACAATAGAGGACAGGAGCACTGCTCTGGGACTGAGGATTATTGCCTTGAAGCAATGGTGATCATAAAACAGACCTGAGGCTATTTTGGTGGCTGCACCTCAGCATAAAAAAGCTTTCTGCTATAAAAGTGAACAAAGCACCAGAAAATGTTATGTTATGATCCCTTATTTAAAAGCACTGTGAGGAACATGGCACCCAATGCCCACAGGGTTTCTTCTCTATGTGGGTAATATGATGATAGACACAAGTGACTGCAGCCACTGAGCTCTTACATAACCTGGCCAGCTGGTGTACTGCAGCATCAGCAGTACTTAAGTCAAGACTAACATTGCACACGTAGATGTCATAAACATTCTTGAAATACCCACAGGTAATTTCATCCCAAAAGACTGTGCTC